AATGACGAGGCACAGTTAATGGTATTTTGTAGTATATTCAGCAATCTTTACCATACGTCACCTCCACTGAGCAGATAGTTTTTATATGGTGAGCGTCTATACCGAAAGTGGCTTACAAAAGAAGGACGCGGACGGCAATTTCAACAAAAAGCAGTGTTGAATTGTGTTACATAAAGCTCAGAAAAGGACGGCACCCGCGATAATTTCAAAAGAACTCCGGAGTCGTTTGTGCCATCCGATGACAATGATAAGCCTAACAAAGTTGGCATAAATATCATGGCTTCAGGCAAGCACTTGAGTTAATTAAGAACTACAGTGGAACTGTATTAGTATTATTAAAGTATTATTAAAGATAATGAAAAATACTGCCTGTCGTTGGGTCTCTATCAACCATTTTTTTAAGTAAGTGTTTAACTAGCGGACAACATTCAATCGGAGCATTCTAACCACAGTTATAAAATCAGTAACAAAAGCCTACATACTGTTATCTTCTACTAAAGATGTCATATTTCGCTAAGATGAATATTGTGTATGAAAAGCAGCTATTGAATAATCTGCTGGTATTTAAAATTTAGCCAGACGCGCGCATAAACATTATAGAAAAAGATCAACTGGCAAAGACCAGCGAGACTGAAATGATAATTTTGGCTTATTAGTCTTTATCAGCCAGTCATACCCAACCCGAGGGATGGGGAGTCCCGAGACTCCAACCCGCGATCTTGTTAGTTAGTTGAAGGCTCTAGTCACAACGCGTCCTGGGCTCGTTGCCTTGCCGATTTTGATGGGGAATATACACAATGGTAGATCGGCGCTGAACAATCGGTTACGGAGCTCACTCCTTCCGTTGGGCATTTGAGCTCATTCTCCAACCCCGAAAACAGTCGCTCAACGGCTAGCATATATTATAGACAGAGATACCGAGTCTATGGGGGTTGCCACACCTGCGGTCGGGTATGACTGGCTGATGAAGGCTACTAAGCCAGACCTGACCATTCCAGTCTCCCTTTTCTCTGCCGGCACCGTATTT